CAGATTGACTATTATCAGGTAGGTACCCTTTTTTTTTTTAATTTATTTATTTGCACATTAATAATACATGTTTTAGTAAATTAATGAATTAAAATATTTCTTCACTCGCATCTGATTTTTGCAATGTGGATAATTCTGATTTAGGATTAGTAGTTTTATCCTTCGATTTGATTTTATTTATTTAGTTTTTTTTATCGATTTTGTGTGTGTGTGTGTGTGTGTTTTATGTTTGGAGGTTTTGGAAGAGGTGAGGAAGCACAAGTCCACGACAAGATCCGTAGACCTTCACTTCAAGCTACAAAAACCCGTCTCCAAAGACGACGCCTCCAAGAAGATCAAGAAAAACAAGAAACGCTGGTGGCGTAACGCGCTTCTCTTCTTCAGATTCCCCAAGCGGCCGCCTGCTGGCGGCGCCGCCGCAGATCCGGGCGCTCTCCGCCTCCGCATTGGATCGATATCCGGGCCGGTTTATGTTACTGAGAGCAGGAGCGGCTCGACAACGCCATACCGAACCGTCAGCCGGCCGGGGTCCGGTCCGCTCGCGAGAGGGAATGTGGAGATCCCCTACATCAGCCTCAGGGAGCGGAATATGGACCACAACCACAGCGTTTCCGCCACGTCGGCTACGCCCAAATATTTGGTCACGTGATGGCCATTCTTGACCTTCTCGTCCAGTGGGACCTTTTTACTTTTTTACTTTATTTTACTTTTTTACTATTTTCCTTAGGTTTCAAGAATTTGACCGTTGTGATAAAAATGAAAAAGAAAGTGACCCTTTAATATCACTTTTTAATAGGGTTGTAAAAGAATCGAATCAAAGGGAATACTCAGAGATTCGATTCGGATTCGTTAAGATATTCGGAGATTCGAATTCGTATTCGATTCGATTCGAAATTCGTTTAAAAAAAAATTATATTAAAAAATATTATAATTACAAAAGATAATTTTTATTTTGCATATATTTTTAGAAAAATTTGTTAATTTAGGATGTTTTTAAATTTTATGTCATAAAAATATTAGGATTATAACAATATATATATATATAAACAAAATGTGTACTATATATAATTTATAAAATTTTTATAATTATTGTTAACGAATCGAATATTCAAATTTCGAATCGAATATCTACAAATTCGAATTCAAATTCGTTTAACTTTCGAATATAAAACATTATTCGTATTCGAATATTTCGAATTCGAATCACGAATATCGAATTCAAATCTCGAATCGAATAAAAAATGTTTGATTTGTTTACAACCCTACTTTTTAATATTTGTTTACAACCCTACTTTTTAATACTGCAGAAAAAGGCTATGGTGGAAAATAAATGATATTGGATTTCAGGCTTTCTAGCGCACGACTGCTTTTTACTTTTTTTTTTTTTTT